CCACACACACACACGCACACACAAATGGGTGATGCGCTTCTGTGTCTATTTGCCTCCTTGCGTGCCTGTGTGCTGTTGCTTATTGCTTTTCCGGTTTTTCTCTCCCGCTTTTATTTTGGGGCGATGCTGCTGCAACCTACGAATCCTGAAAGTCATTTGAAATAACGAAGGGGGCGAAAGAAAATAAAAACACGGCAAAAAGGGCAGAGAACTAAAAAAAAGGAGAAAATAGAGAGGGAGAGGGAGGCAGAGAAAACAGGGAGGGAGTACCATCGTGCAGAGCTCTCTTCCCCCTACCAGAACCCGAGACTCGCAGCCTTGGCGCAGCGTCCACGAGAAGCCGCTGAGGAGCACGGCGGGTGAGCAGGGGAAGCGAAGGAAGGCAGGAAGGAGCGGCACCCACAGCAAGGAGAGGGAAAACGTTCTGGCATCCTTCTCGGGGCCAAGATGTCGCTAAACCTTGCTGAGGCGGCTGATGAACGCAGCCAGAGGGAGATGGAAAAATATTTAGTGGAGCGCGTGGCTGGTCAAGGGACATTTGGGACGGTGCAGCTTGCACGTGAAAAAGCCACTGGGATGAATGTAGCAATTAAAAAGGTCATTCAAGATCCGCGATTCAAAAACCGTGAATTGCAGATTATGCAGGACTTGTCACGCCTGTGTCACCCCAACATTGTGTTCCTAAAAAATTATTTCTATACGGTTGTAGGAGATCACCGACGCAATGACGTGTATCTCAACGTTGTCATGGAGTTTGTCCCGGACACGCTGCACCGTGTATGCCGTGCTTACTATCGGCGCCTTGCGAGTCCGCCCATGCTGTTGGTGAAGGTGTTTATGTACCAACTACTGCGGGGGATTGCCTTCCTTCACCTGCCTGTTGTAAATGTCTGCCATCGTGACATCAAGCCGCATAACGTTCTCGTTGACGAGGCCACCGGTGAGCTGAAATTGTGCGACTTTGGGAGCGCAAAGAAGCTAACGCCGTCGGAGCCAAATGTCGCGTACATTTGCTCCCGCTACTACCGTGCCCCAGAGCTTATCTTTGGCAATCAGTACTACACCACGGCGGTGGATGTCTGGTCGGTTGGTTGCATCTTTGCGGAGATGATGCTGGGTGAGCCAATATTTTGTGGCGAGAATACTTCCGGGCAGCTGCGGGAGATTGTGCGCGTCCTTGGGCGTCCCTCGCGGGAGGAGTTACAGAAGCTAAACACCAGCAACGTGGAGCTGAGTGTGCCAACGAATAAGCCGACTCCTTGGGCAGAAGTGTTTAAGCGCCCGCTTCCTGCCGAGGCTTACGACTTGTGTGCCAAAATATTCAGGTATCTCCCAGAGCAGCGCATACCCCCCTTGGAAGCGCTTTGCCACCCGTTTTTTGATGAACTCCGCGACTCGACGGTGAGGCTGCCGAGCGGTAAATTTTTGCCCGCACATTTGTACAGTTTTATGCGCGAGGAAATCAATGAGATGACGGAGGCCCAAAGGTCCAAACTGGTTCGGAAGTGAATGAACGAATAAGACGGGGCAAAGCGGGAACATGTGCGGGGAGGGCAGAGGATTTGAATGAACACAACTTGGAAACGTGGTGCTGCTCGGTGCCACAAAGAGTGTGTAGCAATGAAGAGGCGAATGCAAGTGTTAACTGATAGAGTGCAGAGTGCAGGAAGTGGAGAGAGCAATGAGAAGGGATGATAAGGGGGAGAGAGGGCGAGAGAGAGGAAAGGGAAATGGATGATACAGAGGGACGAAAGACGAAGAAGCGAGGTGGAAGAAACAGGCATCGGAACATGCTGGGTGGTGGGGAGGGGAGGGAGCGAAGGGAATTCAGGTCGATGCATGCGACCACGACATAACCATCTTGTGATGGAGGGATACTTGAAGGGGTGGCGGGCCTCCTCCTCCTCGCACGTTTGCTTTTTCGCGTCCAGTGATGCTGGCAATGTTGCTTCAAAAGAGAGAGAGAGAGGTGTGAGAGAAGTACAGGAGGCGGAGGCAGTCAAGGCAATAGAATATGGTGTGTGCGGGCTGGCACACACTTCAGGCGGGCCGGTTACAATTTGTTTGCATAGGTCCCATGCATGCTGCATTGGTGAGTCTCAAGTTGGGAGAAGGAACAGCAAAAACAAATAACGCACACTGGGGGGGGGAAGGGGGAGGGGGAGAAAGTGGTGAAAATACTTTTAGCTCGCCGCTTTTTTTGTTGTTCTTTGACCGTCGCATTTTTATCCGGCATTTTTCTTGAGGGCGCCATGGCAGACATCGTTCCTCTGGAAGGAGTAAGAAAGTTGAGAGGGTGCAAGTTTGTTTCTTGGGCCTCGGCATACGATGATATACGTCGCTGGAGGGACGAACAACAGCAAAAAAAAAAGGAAACACGTAATTCGGGTTGCCTGTTCCTCTTGTTTTGCATTTCCATGGAACTAGTGGAGGCGAGGGAAACGAAAGAGAAGCAGTGGAAAATATGTATTGGTTGGAGCTCTTTTGTATTTAGATCAAACTCTTGGGCGTTGAAGGTTGCGCCCTACCCGGCTGCGGGGGACTTCTTACGAAAAGAACCTACTGCATAAGTGTGTGTGTGTGTGTGTGCGAGAGATAGAGAGGCGCTGTGGCGTCGTGATGCGTCCGCTGTCACTGTCGATCTTGTTTTTCGCCTCGTTTTGTGCGTGGGTGGGAGGGGCGGTGCTTGGCGTCGCTCCCGGGCCCTCCCTCTTTCCCGTCCCTTCTCTGTCCCCCCCGGTTAGGTCGACGCTGCCCCTATTGGCTGGCGGTAGACGTCATTGTCCCGGCGAAGGGGAACCCCGTGTTGCTGCCGTGTGGGCTGTGGTGTGGCACAGCGCCGCATCGCTCTGCACTCTGGTCAACCTCTTTTTTTTTTCTCAACTGCCAAGGGTTTCTTTTTCCTCCTCCCCCTCCGGCGGCTGTTTCTTTCCTCCTCAGCGCCTCTTGCAGAGTTTTTTTTCGTGGGTGATAGAAGCGTATATATATATATATATATACAAGTATACGGGTGTGTGCCTGCTGGGGCTGGGTTTGACGCGGCCGTTAAAATGAGTCCACAACAAAATAAGAAAGGGGGGCGACGGAGCTAAAAAAAAAGGGAAAAGGAAAAAGAAAAAGAAAAAGAAATAATCATAACAAAAAGGAAATGGGGATGAGACAGAAAACAACGGCAACACCTCTAGACAATCCCGACATTGACCAGAGCCGTTAACAGTGCAGTTTTCCTCTCTTTGGGTTCAGCTAGGGAGCTGGTTGCAGAGGGGGAAACAGGAGGGGGAGGGGGAGTGGCACTGGTCATGAGGGGAGCAGGTGATGTATATTTACCTTTTCGCGCAAACTGGTGGGAGGGGCCAGGAAGCGTGAGAATAAGATCGCCGGCGTGGCACAGATCTATGGAAGGAACTGCTGCGAAACGGAGAAAGGGGGCAAGAAAAAAAGGAAAGAAAAAAGACGTGCTGAAATGAAAGTGAACAGGGTTGACTAGCGACGCCGTCGCCGCTGGAGGAAGTGTGACAGGGTGCTTCTCCGGGCCCTCCTCCCTTCTCCGCACCGGGACTCGGCCAATGGAAAAGGGGAGGAGGAAGAACCCGTCAATAAGGAGAAAACGGGGGGGGGGTAAGTGTGTATGGAAGTTGTTGGGAGCAATGCCGGGGATAAACATCCCATCCCCACCCCAGCACGGGCACGGAAGGGAGAGCGTCAGAGAGTGAGCCACAGAGGCGGCAGAAGGACCGCGACAAAAAAGAAAAAGAATTGTCGTTGAGAGGGCGATGAAAAAGGTGATATCCCGGAAAATATACCACCCTCCTTCTTCCTTTCCTTGCGTTGTCTTTTCTTCACAGCACTGCGCCGCTTAGGGCCATGTTTTTTCTGTTTTTTTTTGTCTTTCGTCGTCAGTGGGAGTGCTTCTTCTTTTCGTCGTTATTCCGTGCAGATTTTGTGTGTGGGCGGCGCACCCACCTCCGAGACATCCATTCCATCAAACTTTTTTTTTTGGTATTCTTTTGTCGCATTTTTTCTTTTTGTATTTGGACTTCTTTGTGTTTTTTAGCCTTGCAACAGACAGTGTGAGGAGGTGCAGAGTAATGGGAAGGGGGGACTCACTTTTGCAGCTGGCCAAAGAACAGATCCTCGCAATTCCTACGCAAATTGATGTATAGCTCATTACTGGTAGGTGCGTTTATTGTTTCTTGGCTACTTTTATTTGTTTATTTATTTATTTTTTTTCACACCCTCCTCCACTCTCTACACCGCCCATCGCCTCCTGCTTGGTTTTCTTTCTTCGCCCTCTCCCCAGGTCTCAGCACTGTGAATGCAAACGCATTCACTGCACTTTTGAAGATTGCTTCTTCCCGCACTCCTCTTGCAGCGGGGTGATGGCGCAACGCCACGCTGCGCCCCCCATTTCGCTGCGGTCTGCTCCATTCTCCCCGGCCCAAGCGCATGCCGCAACGCACCGCGGCGCAGAAGTCTCTGCTCAACAGCAGCTTATTGCACCACCTTTGTCGCAGTGTTGTTACCACGGGGGGAGGGGCACTGCCTTGGTTGAAGCTTCAGGGACCCTTTTCAGGAGAACTTCGAATGCGTGATAACTACTCAATTCAAAACCCGGACGCGTCACACTCTCAGGGGCGTAAAGGTGCCTAATTGTTATCATTGCGGACCCCAGCCATCGCGTCGGGTGTCACTGGAGTGGAGTAAGCATGTGGCACATCGGCTTCTTTGCACATTCCTGGTTATGGTGCGCTTCTCTGCCTCACCCCTCCTTCATTGTCCAGGCAGTATTGCTCTCTCGTTGGATCTTTTATGTTTGCAGGAATGCCGCTCCCGCCGCGGCCAACTGGATTAGCCGTTCCTGTGTCCTCAAAAGAAAACTATTCTGTTTATATCGCACAGTTTTGAGAGGTTTGTGTGGTGAACATGAATTATTACGGTTTTTATTCGTTGTCTCCCTCCCTCCTCTCTCTCTCTCTCTGTATCTGTATCTGTCTGTGCTTATGGGGATTTGTCCCTTCGATTTGTCTATGTGTTGTTGTTGTTGTTGTTTTTCCCCCGTTTTGCTCTGTTTCCTCGCTCTTTCTGCCTCACTCCTGCATGCGAGGCTGAGGCTGTGTGCCCGTGGCCGAGGAAAAGGTGGGGAAGGGGCGGCGGCAATGTTGTCGCTTAGAGCGGCAGCGCCGATGGGAGTCTGTGGCGTCGCCTTGACGCTGCATCGGCGGCATCTCTCCGTGCGCACGGAGGACTTCTTCAGCAAGGAGGCCGTCAGCCACGCGCGGCGTGTCAGTTGGGCCCCGCACACCACTGAGAAGAAACAGGGCGCATTCGCCAAGCTGGCGCGCTCTAATTTCTCGGACCCACTACCGAGTTCCTTCACGCAGGAGCCGTACTATGAGGAGGCGATCGAGGCACACCGTCTGCATCACAGGCCGGACGTGTACGTTTACAAGTACAATGTTTCTCCGACGCACATGTCTCTTCGTGAGTAGCGGCGAACTCCCCAAAATGCACAAGCAAAAACAAAAAACAGTACCCGTTATTTCCTGTAGTGTACGTATGGAGTTTTGTCTCGGTGAGTGCGTGGGCTTCTCTGCCGTGAAAAGAAACAGAACTCACAGGCACACACAAAGGTACACGCGCAGGAAAGGAAAGGAAAAAAAGGAGCAATGAAGAAGCGTGGTGGGGGAGAAAGAAATCGTGAGAGATTTACCGTCTTCCTTTTCTTTTTCTTTTTTAGTTGAAGTTATCTTCTTTCTTCTCAATTGCGATTTTGGCCCACTCGTAATGCTGACTATTTTCTTTTTTCTTGTCGTTGTCCTTTTTTTCTTTGTGTGTGTGTGGTATATTCCTGCTACCCCGCAGGTGCCGAACCGACCCCCGCCCCGCCAAGAACATGTACTTACACAAATGTAGCCGCGGCCTGGGCCCCATGCGTTTACGACGACTTGTGGCGCCGTGGGTGGCCTCGCCACACCGCTGGAGCGTGCAGCGAAAGCCGGAGGGCGGGGAGGGGAGCGGCGCGGGTGGGGCCATCGAGGTCGACACGACGGAGGAGTGGCTGCGGGGCCACGTGGCGCAGGCCGTTCGTGAAGGCCGACAAACCAAAGAGTCGGCGGAGTACTTTGAGAGTATCATGAACGACCAAGCGGAGTTTCGCCAGTACGTCCAGGAGGCGCGTCGGCTGATGAACAATCAAGACCCACGCACGCTTACCAAGTACCAACAGAGACACTTTGCCGAGCGCTTGTCGCAGCATATGAGCGGGGTTGCGTCGGAGCGGCTGATGCGGGCACACGCGGAGGAGTCAAACGCACGGCGCCACACCCAAACCGGCGCCCCCACAGGCGAGAACTACTGGTTTGAGGCAGGCAACACGCTGGCCTCGCCGTCTGTTCCGGGGTTTGTGAAGGACGAAGTGTTGCGGGAGATGCGTGAGGACCGAAAGCAGGCAAGTGCCGCGTTTGAGGAATCGAATGAGGTGCAAGCGATGGCGGACAAGGACGAGGCATTCGCACAACATCTGCGACGTCAACGCCAGCGCCTACTCCGCTCTGATGACAATTCTGACTGAAGAGGAAACGGCGGGAGGGAATGTCCTGTGTGGCCAACAAGACAAAAGAAGGAAAACGAGGAAGAAGAAAAAAAGAATCCAAATTAATACAATAAACGAGGCTTGGGTGTGAGTGAGTGAGTGCAGTTCGGTCCCCATATAAATATATATATATCCTCTTATTGTTCCCTTGTTTCTTTCTCGTTTCTGTTAAAGGTCCAGAATCTGCTCCAGAAAGGCGCGGGAGACGCAGGGAACTTGCGGCACTAGGGGAGCGGGCGTTGGTGGAGCGAAGCAAGAGGAAAACAAACGTAGGCATCTGTACCTAAATGCGTGCTAGGATGCTTTTGCAGCGGAGCTATTGGCTCGACATTAGGCCGGTGACTGTGGTGCTCCTGTTTCTAATTCACTCCTTTATAGTGTATGAGTGTGCTATGCAGGGGCACGAGGAAAATGAGGCGGTAACGCTTGCAACGGCGGGCCGTTTGAAGGATATAATGAAAGATGCCCTTCCTGTGGGCCCAATGTACTCCTTGCGGGTTCATTTCCTTCGCCATTGGCTGAAAGACGGAGACGCCCGGGATGCTGAGGCCTTGGCACGTGATGTGGCGCCAGCAGACGTGTTACTACTAGTTTTTCCGAATGATACGATGTTGAACCAGACCGAGGTGGTGAACCAATTCGCGTTGTTGCAACGCTGGTTGTGGATCACGCCGTTAAATCCCTCCCTGGACACGGGTGGCAATAGTTCCCACACACTCCCGGAACGACGGTTATCGTTCGCTGAATTTGGCAAAGTCCCCATCCCGGTTGTACGTCGTCTTCGTAACATGTCGGCCTTTCTGCACGCTGAATCACCCTCACCGAAGGCGCACCCCGCGTCAGGCGAGGCTTCTATCGCTGCCTGCCTTCTTGTCGAGACAGACCCCTCACACATTCGCACTTCCTCTGGTGGAACTCTGCAAGACGAACTGGCGGCAGGCCCCAACATCTCGCGAATTCCTGCGATGGCGGTAAACTGGGGCCGTGCACACAACGCCGACTGGACCCTTCTCATCTCTCCGTGTCGGAGTAACCAAGTGTATACATGGGACAAGCGACACTTTCATTTCTTGGAAAGTACCACCGTGTGGTGGGTGTGCGCTGCGTCGGATACGCTTATCGAGATAAACGCGGCAGCAAGGTTTATCACCACTGTTACATAAGCGTAGCTACTGAGAGTACGAAGGGGAGGAGGGGAACGAAAGGGGGAGGTGGGGCAATTCTCCTGGCATGCTGTAATTACATTTTTATTATTCTTCTTGACATTCCCTTTTTAGTACGCCTCCTTCCTTTTTTTTTGGTACGTTCTTTCCTTCTTTACATATATATATATATATATCTTGAGATGGCTCTAGGCCGATCCTTTTTTGCGTTGATTCTTCGCTTCGCTTCTTGTTGCTTAACGTCCTCTGTGAACTCGTTGTTGTTTTTTTTCTCCCTTCACGAACAGTACTCCTCCGTTCGAAATTTGGCATTGTAGTCCGTGGCTCTGTAAATGCTGCTCTTTTCGCTCCTTTCATTGTAGCTGCGATTTTACTTCTGTACACACACGCGTGCGTGTGGGTGGGTGAGAGATATACGCCCGCAGGGTAGCCAAAGAGAATGATTCACCTTCTTTTTAGTTGGACGAATATACTTTGGGGAGGCATTCTTGCCGCGGCTCTTCTCGGGGCAAAGAAGTACACTGGGATGACGAGGAGCGAGCAGGAAGAGTTCGAGAAGTCGCTGGGTAAACTCCGAGGTGTTCACACCCCAACCATCATCGTGGGTGTCTGGCTGGCGCTACGATGCCTGCACGCGCTGGGTCTGCTGCTTGTATTGGAGCTGCTGCTCGTGCTTGGTGTGGTGTGCTACCTCCACCGGACCGAGTCCCGGCGGGCCGCCATGAGGGTTCATCAGGCCCACTGGATGCTGCAAAACACGGAAAGTTTGAAGGATATTTTGGGCGCTGACCTACCAGAGTGGTTGAAGTACCCGAACGTGAGTCGGGTGCAGTGGCTCAACACATTGATAACTGGTATGTGGACTTCAATTGCCTCCGCGACGCAGACGTCTATTCGTCAAGCTCTGGTGCCGCTACTAGAGGCGAATAAACCCTCCTTCATATCTGGGCTCGTCCTCAAGGAGTTGTCTCTAGGCGCGAATCCCATCGTTGTTCATGGAATTCAGCATTACCCGAGCGATGGCAATGCCTCCGTAGTTGACGTGACACTTTCCTGGGACAGTGACATGGATGTACACCTGCACGTAAAAATACCAGGACCCGATATGCATATTTATATCCGACGATTTGAACTAAACATGCAGGTTCGTTGTGTACTCTCGCCTCACATTCCCCAATGGCCCTGTTTTGGGCGCTATCCATCTCAATCATGAAGATTTGGGTGTTAAACTTTGATATTTCGGCGGCGGGGATACCACTTGACGCTGTGCCTGCTGTGGGAGAATTTTTGGATCAATTTATACGTAAAACTCTCATTGGCATGCTGCAACACCCCAAGCGAATCTCTATCCCAATGGTGCAAGGGTACACGTTGGAAATGAGCCGAGCGGATGCTGCCCTTGGTGCTCTGCGTGTCCGGTTACTGCGGATAGAGGGCTGGCATCAGCGCCATGTGTCCAACAGAGGAAAAACACCCTTTTACGTGAAAGTGGTAATGCTTTCCGATGAAAATAATAAGCGTAGAAAGAGTTCAACGTATAAGGGGTTACAAAGCGAGTTGCAAGATACATTTAGTTTTGTTTTGTACAACAACACGGGGACCTTGCGCTTCTGGCTCTATTTTGATGTCCCTGGGACAGATCCCTGCGTCGGGCAGTGTGACGTCCCTGTGCGAGTGTTGATGGACAACCCGCGCTCCGAGCACGCGTGTCTTTTAGTTGAATCGCTTTCCTCGAATGTCGAGCCCCGTGCGACTCTGATTATTTCGGCCGAGTTTCTCCCCTACGTTGGAAGAAGCAGGACGGACTCCACCACAGCCCCTTCCCACGCTCCGTCACGCAGAGTGTCGGAGGCTTTTGTTAAGCAACAAGAAGCGTCGGAGCGGTCCTTTGGTCCCCCAACAGCGCGATCCGTGAAGAATGAAAGTCTCTGCTCGAATGGGCGGGGCGGCGGCACCCTCTTTATCACCGTGGAACGCTGTACCGGACTTAAAAACATGGAATACCTTGGCGTGTCAGATCCATATGTTCAGCTACGACTGCGGAGGCAGACGCGGGTCTCGCCCTACCAAAGCTCCACCCTCAATCCCACGTTCAACTTTGAGGCGGAGCTGGAGGTGTACGACACCCAAACCGACGTGCTGCACTTAGCCATTTTGGACAAGAATGACCTCTCCACGGACCGTGTGATGGGCACTCTCAACATTACTTTGTCTACCATCTCAGGTAGTGTGAGTGACCGGCTTTCTAGAGCATGGAACCTTGAGCCGCAGGGCCAAGTGTTTCTGGTGATGCGCTTTCTGCGCCACTGAGCTTTGTCCCCCCCCCCCCCCCGTTTCATCATTGCGTGTGCTACTTCTTCATTGTTTTTTCTTTTGGTCGTTTGGTCATATTGTTTCCGTGCCGATGTAAGCGAAAGACTCTAACTGGGGGAAACTTGTAAATGCGAATGGGGCAGCGGCGAGGCGCGTCCTCTCACGGAAGTAGCAAAAGAGACGTTGGCAGAAAGAGTCCAAAAGAGGGAGAGAGAAAAGAAAAGAATGTCGCATACGTGTGCGCATGTGAGTATATGTATCTATGTGTGGCTCTCGCTGCGGGAGTGGAAAGAAAAGCGCAGCTGCGGAATGGTGGCTTTTCCTTTGCTTACCTGCTTCCGAGGGTGCGCGCCTGTGGGATCATATTTTTTTTTCTCTTTTTCCTTCTTTCCCACTTTGCATTTGCATTTGCTTCGTTGTTGTTGGTTTCTTCTCTTTGTTTCCGGCTTCTATATTAGCTTCGAGGCAGACGACGGTGGGCCAACACGGCGTCACTACTGCCCTTTTATTCTCTTTTTTACATAAGTAAATTCTTCTCATTTGCTTATATGCAGCCGGTTTACCTGGAATATATATATATATATAAATGTATATATTTTCTCTCTTGCAGGGGAGGCGCGTGCGGTGGTTGTGTCGCGTCCGCCTCCTCTCAGGCGACACGCGCAGCATTCGCGGATCTTTTGGGAGGAAAGGGAGACACGTGGAGAAGAGATGTACATGAATTCACCTTGGAACGGCGCCTGAAACTTCGGGGCGACTCCGTAATTGCGTCCACAAGCACCGTCAACCCGCGTTGTATTGCGGCCTGCTTCCTTTATGAAGCACCACTTCGTTGCTTGTTTTTCTTTTGTCTTGTGTGTGTGTGTGTGTGCGTGTGTGTTGGTGCAGTGCAGTGCAATGCCTCGCCTGCTTCCTCTGCCGTGTGTGCCGCATCTGCTGCGTTCGCGTCCGGCGGTGCCGCCTGGCGTCATTCCCCTGCCCTCGCCGCATACTCTCTTTCTCTCTTTCTCGCTCGTTTTTTGTTTCCCGTCTTGTCGTGGGGTGCAAGCTGCTCGTGTGACGTTTGCTGCGAAGGCGATGGGGAAAAATCCACCGAAATGGCTGCCGGGGGAGCGGGTGAAGGAGACAATTCTGCTGCAGCGCAAGTCTGTGGAGCAGCTGCGGGCAGACCGAGTCCTGCGGCGCGACAAGCTGCAGGAGCGCCGTGACCGCCACAAGGCAAAGTTGGACGCCAAGCGGAAGCGCAAGCTCACCACGAAGAAGTTCATCTCCGCGCAGACGATACTGAAGCACGCGCAGCGAAAGGAGGGGCAGGGACGCATCTTCCGCAAGATTGGTGAGAAGGTGCGGGGTAAGCGCCAACGCATGGCACCTGATGAGTACAAGAAGAGCCTGGATGAGAGCCGGGTGGTGCTGATTGTGCGGGCGCGCGGGAGGCAAATTCCGCCGGAGGTCTCGGCCGCCCTTCGGCGCCTGGGTCTCATGAAATTGTACGCCGCACGGCTGCTTTGCCTGAACCCCCGCACCGATCCGCTCGTGAAGCAGCTCGGCCCTTTCTGCATCATGGGTCACCCCGAACCGGCGCAGCTGGAGGAACTCCTGCGCACGCGTGGAAGTTTGTGGAACGAGGAGACGCAGACAAAGCGGCTAATCAGCGGCAACCTCATGCTTGAGCAGGCTCTAGGGCAATATAACATTCTCTGCATTGAGGACCTCTGTGATGCGCTGGTAAACAAGACGGAGCACGTGCAGGCGGTACTGCAACACATAGCACCCTTCGACTTCCACCCGCCGCGACAACTATTTATGGAACGCCACCGCTCCGTCCACCAGAAGCTGGAAATGGTGAACAAGGATTCCTTTGCCGCCTACCTGGCACAACAGCTTAAAGGCGCCGCCAAGCGTGAGAAGGTAGCAGCAGCTAACAAGCGAAAAGCGGCCAAAGCATCATCTCTGCCCGCGTGAACGCTGCGGGGAGGTAAGTGGTGCGAACATGTTGTTCCCGGTGTGCGTCGGCGTGGGCGTCCCTTCCACCCCCCGCCTGCGTGAAGGCGGGGGGTGGGCGCGCAGCGTCCGCTTCCCGCGAGGAGGGATGTCTTGTGTTTTTTTCGTGTCCAGAAAGAGAGAGGCACGCGCCTTGGCACGGAAGTGAGGGGGCGGAAAAGCGAAACGGCAAAAAAAAAAAAATACACGCGGATGCAAGGAGCGAGGGTGCGCGCCCACGTGTGTCTGTGTGTGGAGGAAACCGAAAAGTAAAAGGAAGAGAAGAGAAGCGCAAGGAAAAAAAGAGTGCTGTAAACACCAGGAGAGGATCGGGTGGAAGTGCAAAACAACACGTTTAATAGTGAGTGGCGAGGAAGGTGTCACGTTCTCTCCTCACCTCACCTCCCCGCCCAGCCTCAACCATTACCAGCAATTACATGCACGTGTTTGCCGCGCCCCTCCCGCGCTGCACCTCCCATTCTGTTTGCCCTTCCCGGACGTTACCATCGATCTCCGCCACACCGCCCGTGTGCGACGTCACTTCCTTTGTTTTGTTTTATCTCGTGTTTTTTTTGTTGCCTGCTCGTTGGTGCGTGTCTCGCGCCGCCTACGCGGAGGGAGGGAAAAGCTAAGGCCGAAAAGGCGGGGAAAGGCGATCGGCGCAACTTATTTCCGTCTGCGTGCGTGCGTGCGTGGAGGCTTGTTGTTTGCTGGCGACGCACAAGAAGCAGTGATAAGGCGGTAGGGATTTAAAACGAAAAAAAGGGAGGGGGAAAAAAAGCACATACACACAGGCAAAGGAGAAGCGAAGAGGGGATAATAGAGCAGGAAAAAAGAAACAAATAACAGAAACAAAACACCCGCAAAAAAAAAACAAGGCGGTGGAAGAAAAAGAGAGATGTCGCAGATACCACAGCAGCGGTTTGGGTGCTACATTGGTAACATTGACCGCAGTGTGACGTTGGATGTCCTCCGCCAGGTGTTCTCGCAGTGCGGGGTGATCATTGACTGCTCCCTCAACGGAAGGGATGAAGATCCGTACCGATACGGCTTCATCGACTTCGCCTCTGAGGAGGATCGCGGGCGGGCAATGAAGTACAACGGGTTTACGCTCGCGGGAAGGAAAATTAAGGTGGGTGTTAGCAAGGGTAACGTCGGGCGGCCAGAGGGGTTCAACAACACAAATAGCAGCAGCAATAACGGCCCGAGCAACACCGGCAACAGCAGCAGCGTCAGCAACAACCAGCAGCAGCAGCAGCAGCAGCAGCAGCAGCAGCTGATGCCGCACGTGCAACAGCCCCAGCAACCACAAATTCCACCAGTTGCCCTGGCGGCCACCCTTCTTCCCAGTGTCTTGCAGCAGCAACAACAGGGCACACAGCTCCTCATGCAGCTCATTCAGCAGGGCGCCATAGACATTAATAACTTAACCCCCGAACAGCAGCAAATTCTAATGGCGAGTCTTCTTCCCCAAGCAGCACCGCCAGCGCCAGGAATACCTGCGATGCCCCCAATGGCACCTATGGGATATCCGCCGATGCAGCAGGCGTGGGGTGCGCCTCGTGGCGGCGGTGGCGGTGGTGGTGGCGGTGGTGGCGCCTACCCGGGTGGACCTCCGGTAAGCCGCGGGATGCCGTACAGCCGCGGACCAGCAAATCCGATGCCGTCCGAAGAGACGGTGAAGCTGCGGGAGGTGCAACGCAAGCAGTTCCTTGACGTGGTGCGACGTGATGCTGAGAAATACGAGCGAAAGTTGCGGGAACGTGGCGTGAAAGAGGGAAGGGCAGGGTCGGTTTCTGGCAGCGAAGATAGTTCCGACGACGACGAGGGTGGTGAGAAGCGCCGCCGTGGGCACGGCAAGAGAAACGAGGAAGAGAATGAGGGCGAAAAGAACAAGCGGGCTAGACATCACGACGACGGCGGTAGGCACCATCATCACAACCACCACCACACAAACAGCAGCAAGGAGCAGCCGACGGCCTCCGCCGACGACAATGGCGCCAGCAACGTCGATGAGAAGAAGGAGCCGGAGCATGAGGAAGCCGTGGAGGAGCCTAAGAGAGCGGAGGAGCCTGAGAGGACGGAGGAACCCAAGAGGACGGAGGAACCCAAGAGGACGGAGGAGCATGAGGAAGCCGTGGAGGAAGTGAGGCAGACTGAGCCACAGGGGGGGAAAGACGACCGTGAAGAAATTTAGAACGTGGTAAGCGGATACCAGGAATGAGGCAAAAACACAGAAAATGGAAAAAAAAGAACACGCACACGGGCACACAAAGAATAAGAATTTAAAAAAAAAGGCGGGGGGGGGTGATACGAAAAAAGAGAGTACCGTCTGCGTGGCTGGGGTAACATGACAGGAGTGGAGTGGAGTCCCAGAGAATGAAAGCCATCAGGAAAACAAAAAACATCAAACAATCGAAGGACCAGAATGGAGTATCCCCTCTTTTCCCCATCCCCAAAAGAAGGAACACTAAAGAATAAGAGAACGGGGTAGGACAAGAAAGTGACGATAGATTATGGTCACCACGAGGTGGTTTTCTTCACGGGTTGTACTCCCGGCTGGATATTACCCACACATACCTAATCTCTCTCCCTCATATATATATATATATATAATCCGCGCCAGGTGTTGGTGCATGGCTCTCGAATCGTAGCCTTACTCACCCTCCGATTCCCCCCCCTCCCCTCACCCTCCTTTTTTTTTTCTTCTGTTGTTTTTCTTCCACGGTGTGGACTCTTTGCTTTGCTTTGTGAACCAGCATCTTCGTCATCCTTGTGCGATTACTTTGCCTTGTTGTTTGAATTCAAATAACCGGTGTCGACGTCATTGTCCATTGCGTTAATTAACATCTGACGTAATTCATTAGCCAAGAAAAGCAAACCAGCAAGAAAAAAAAACAAGCGCACAACAAAAAGCCTACCAAAAGGAAGGCAAGGTGCCTCAGCCTGCTCAATACAACACCTCGATACAAACCGAGTTCAAGTGATGGCACGGGTGGGAGAGGGAGACCCTCGGTGGATAGTGGATGATCGTAAGGATGGCCATAATGTCAATTCGTGGCACTGGGAGGAGCGTGACCTTTCAAGCGAATGCCACGAGGAACTTAAGCGACGACTAAAGAATTTTTTACTTTTAAAGGAAGGCGACCTCGAACTGCGTGTCGATGAATTGAGTGAGATCAGCGGGGATGTGACCGTGGCGCAGCGAAAAGGAAAGATGATGTGCTACTTTGAGCTCAAACTGACGTTGAAGTGGTCTGCTGGGGGCGACGTCACTGGGAAGCTCACAGTGCCAGAGATCGACCACGACAACTTCCGCGATGAGTACGACATTACGGTAAGTTCTACTGAGAACGACGCGGTCTCGCAGAGGGCGGATGCATTGCTGCGGTCGAAAGGACGTGCCGCCGTGCGGCAGGTCATTACGAAATACTTTGACGAGCTCTTTGAGACTTACCAGATTGGAAAAAACTTGAAAAATGCTTCATCCTTGCCCCCGCCAGCCAAGAAGAGCGAGACGACTCCCGCTGCAAGTGATGCGAAGAGTGGCACTGCGGAGACGGCTTCAAAAGACTCGGTGTCGACGAGATTTTCGTGGAAGATGCGCTGGCGTGTTCCTGTTGAAGAGCTGTTTACGGTTCTTATGAACGAGCAGCGCGCCTCAGTGTACACGCGAGCCCAGGCGAAGATTGATCCCCGCTCCGGTGGAGCGTTCGAGTTCCTTGGAGGCGTCATCAGCGGCTTCTTTGTGGAAGTGGTGCCGAATGCGACGATTAAGATGCAGTGGCGGCTGCGTAGCTGGCCAGCCGGTGTCCACAGTTCTGTGGTGATGGCGCTTAAAAAAGAAGAACCTGGTGTGTCGTCACTTGAATTTGCGCAGGTTGGTATTCCTGAGGGCGAGCTGCAAGTCGTTCAAGAGGGATGGAAGGCAAATTTCTTCGATGCCATTAAGATGGTGTTTGGCTATTCCATGGAATATATTTAATGCAGCGCACTTCAATAGCCGCATCTCTCTCCCCCTCTACGTTGTTATTGATTTTTTTTCCTGTTTTTATTTCTCCCTGTGTGTGTCTGTGTGCGTGTTTCCCTAATTATTGCGACTATTATTATTATTATTATTATTATTATTGTTGTTGTTATTATTATTATTATTGTGGTTGTAGCTGTGGGTATTCACTATTGGATGCTATATATTCTGCATTCACTGTTTACGCCGCCGCATGCACGTCTTTCCATTGACTCTTCATTGCATGAGGTCATCTTCTTCTTCTCCCCATCCCTCCCCTTGCTGCAGTGGCTCCTCCACTTTTCTGTTCATTGGGAGTTGTACGGCCTTTTTTTTTTTCCTCTCTGTTTTTGTTTTGTATTTTACTTTACTCCTTGCATGTCCGCTTTGCTCCCTTTTGCTGCGGCCTTGTACGGGGTCCCGCGTGGCACACAATCCGAGTGGAGTGAGCGGAATCCACCCAACGGGAAGAAGGCGGGCGACGACTCACAGAACAAAGCATCGAGTGGTACATAAAATGACCGAGCAGGCGGCACCGAAGATTGTGGTCGTTGGCGGGGGACCAACCGGCTTGGGGGCGGCGGTGCGTCTCACTGAGCTCGGCCACAAGAATTGGCACCTGTACGAGTGCAACGAGGTTCCAGGTGGTTTGTCGCGCAGCTTCGTGGATGAGAAGGGGTTTACCTGGGACTTGGGCGGGCACGTTATCTTTTCTCACTACCAATACTTTGACGACGTCATGGATTGGGCGGTGCAGGACTGGAATGTCCTGGAGCGTGAGTCGTGGGTCTGGGCGCGGGGACGGTGGGTCCCCTATCCGTTTCAGAACAATATCCACCGCTTACCGGAGCCGGACATGAAACACTGCTTTGATGAATTGGTGAAGTCACAGGCGCAGATCCACACGAAGCCGCCACGCAACTTTGAGGAATCTTTTACCCGGCAGTTTGGGGAGGGAATTGCGGATGTTTTTATGAGACCGTACAATTTTAAGGTCTGGGCTGTGCCACCGCGTTTGATGAGCACGGAGTGGATTGGGGAACGCGTTGCCCCCGTTGACGTGGAGCGCATACGCCTTAATATTAAAGAGAACCACGACGATGTGGGTTGGGGACCCAATGCCACGTTTCGATTCCCTCAGCGTGGGGGGACGGGGGGCATTTATCAAGCCATTAAGGCAAAGCTTCCGTCGGAGCGAGTGAAGTGCAGTGCGGGGTTTAGAATGACGGCGATTGATGCCGATGCGAAGACTGTTACATTTTCCAATGGAGAGGTGGTGAGTTACGACTGCCTTATTTCCACGGTCCCCTACAGCGACCTCCTGCGCATGACGAAAGGCACCGGTTTCAACAACTATGAGGAGTGGACTGACATTGCAGACAAGATGGTGTACAGCTCAACAAATGTTATTGGTATCGGTTTGAAAGGCACACCACCACCACAGCTGCGAACAGCCTGCTGGTTATACTTCCCTGAGGATACCTCTCCGTTTTACCGTGCGACGGTGTTTTCAAACTATTCAAAGTACAACGCCCCCGAGGAGCATTGGAGTCTCATGCTTGAGGTGAGCGAGAGCAGCTACAAACCTGTAAACCATAACTCACTTATTGACGACTGTATTGCCGGCTGCCTGGACTCCGATTTGCTCTCTCCGGAGGATGTGATTGTGAGCAAGTGGCAGTATAGAATCGAAAAGGGGTATCCCACACCTTTTATTGGGCGAAATGATTTGCTTGAGCGGGCGCTACCACAGCTGAAGTCCCGTGGCATATACTCCCGCGGGCGTTTCGGGGCCTGGCGCTACGAGGTCGGCAACCAGGATCACTCCCTCATGCAGGGGGTTGAGGCGGTCAATCATGCACTCGGCCTCGTCAGTGAGGAGGTAACAGTCACAAGTCCATGTAAAGTAAACAGTACGCGTGCAACCACCTCCTGCAAGCTTTTGGAAAGGAAAATGTGATGCGCAAACTTATTACAGGCGTCACATGACGTCTTTTTTTTTTTTTGATGTTTTGGATGGACGCTGTGTTTTTTTTTTTTTTGCTATGTGATTGGCTGGGAACTGGAAAGCGAAAAAGACAAATTTTGTTGCTTCGCTTTTTGGGAAAGCTGCTACGAGAGACCGGGGTAAAGGCGGGTGTGTCTGCGGTGTCTGCGGTGCCGAAAGGGAACAATATAACTTTGGGTACGCGCCCACACACACCGTGGTTCCCCCTCATGGACGCATTATTATTATTATTATTATTATTATTATATATATATATATATGTGTGTGTGTGTATATTATTTTTCCCCTTTAAACGTGTGCGGGTGTTGGTTCATTATGTGGTTTTTTCTCTTTTTATGCTTCTCTCCCAACCGTTGCGGGCGACTCTTTTCTTCCTGGGCCTCTAAGCACAAGCTGTTTTGTTTTGATACATGCATGTGTGTGTGTGGGGGGGGGGAGTGCTCGAGCGTTGAAGCTCTTCTGATTTTTGCTTTCCTTCCTCTTTTCTCATGCTGTCTGTGGTCCCGCGACGCGGGAGAAGAGAAGGAAGCGGAACTGACTTTGCCATACTTTAGTCGACGTGCCCGGGGCCTGACGGGAAAGCGTTGCAATGCCAGCCCTTCGCTGGTGCGGCAGGAAGTGGCGCACATCGACAGATGATTTTACCTTTTCCGGCGTTTTCTTTTTTGCTGTTCTCGTTGTAAGTGGGACTCTTGCCTTGAGTCGTTTCCACCACGGCGACGGTGCGTTTATGCGGGATTGCCCGGCGGCTTCTGCCGCGCTTCACAGGATTTTTTTGGCGCTTGGGGTTGTGGATCTGATCGGCGCCGTGGCGTTTCTTGTGACCGCGTGGCTGAGTCTCCAGGGGAGTCCGTTTCAGGTGTCCAGGCGCCGCCACGTTCCCCACCTCCTCAGTGTGACGTCGCTTTCCCTGCTGGCGACGCTGGCGCTCTCGATCGTAGGGGCAAAGTACTCAATATATGACAAGGAGAGCAACTACTGTGCGAGCCCCACACGACATTTCCTGCACGCCGTCGTCGCAATCAATTTCATTGCTTCCTTTTGCTACATTGTCATGTTCGCAGTGGCTTTTGACCCTGTGGGGCGCCATGTGTGGAGGGACTCCGGCGAGTACGAGTCTCTGTGGGACAGCCGTTGCCGTCTCCTCTGCTGCTGTTGCCTGCATACGCGTCGCCACCAAGACGCCTTCCAGGATGTCTCCAAAAATGTGGCTGGTTTGTTTTGCGGCTATGATGTAGTGCCGAGTGACGTGGTTGCGGGCATGCTCCTTCTGCACGCCAGACAAAAACGTGAGTTTCGCCTCCGACAAATAAAAGTGCGTTACCCATCCGCTACCGATGGGAGAAGCGAACGCGTCTCTTTACAGGCACGATATTTTCCTCTGTTGACCGAACAGCAACGGAGCCAGCTCGCCGATCTTCGAACCTACAGTCGTTTTTACCTCTCCGCGTACGGCTGGCCTCTGTTTGAGTACATGCACTGCTGTACGGGATTGCCTAGACTCTGCTGCTTTGATCCGGGGATGTGTTGCCGCGAGCATCCGGGTTCCCATCGCGGAACAAAGTGCTACTGTGACTTGACTGCACTCCTTAAGGTTACCGGCATCAAGGACGAGGATGTTATTCTCACAAGGTGGGGAAATGCTCTATTTCGTCCGGTGTTTTTTGTTGTCATTGACCAATCCACCGATGCTGTCGTTGTGGGGATTCGAGGAACCATGTCCTTCGCTGATTGCGTCACCGACATGTCGGCAACCCCCGGTTTGCTTGAGATGCCAGAAACAGAACTGCACGCCAACGCAACCCCTGCAGACTACCACGTTCATGGAGGAATGCGGCAAGGCGCCGCCTACGTGCTGAAGGAGTTACGTGACTGTGGCGTTCTTGACAGCATTCTCCACGGAGAGCTTAGCCGACACAAAATCGTTGTCCTTGGTCACTCCCTTGGGGCCGGAGTTGCCTCTATTCTGAGTATAATGCTGTGGTCGACGGAACCGACTCTGCGGACTCGCTTGCAGTGCCTGGCGTATGCGCCACCCGGGGGCTTATTGTCGCCTGCGTTGGTTGCGTACAGTAAAGAATTTATTGTGGGTTGCTTTGTTGGGAATGACATTGTCCCACGCATGGCCAGTCATACACTTCATGCTCTGCGGGAATCCATCTTGGATGAACTTATGAGCACGACAAAATCCAAGTCGCTTCTTCTTATGAATCATCGACGTCTAGAAAAGATTACGCGGACGTCATCGTCATCATCCGCGCTTCATTTTTCGGAGAGTTTAACCCTCCGCAACAACCTTCGCAATACTCCATGTACGCCGCTGACAGAACCGCAGAAGCTGTACCCGCCTGCCACACTTGTACACTACTGTAAGGCGGTGGTACGCAAGGCCCCATTCTGCTCCTGCTCCCCCAAGCATTGTTGCTCTTGTCAGAAGGAGGAGGTGTTTGTGCCACTATTTGTATCTCCACGAGATGTACAATACGTGGTTTGCACCGCCTCAATGCTCAAGGATCACTTTCCGGATCGTCTCTTTTCCGTCATTGAGGATGCCGATATGCGACTTAGAGTGGGGGAGCTGGAGCGGTTTTTTGTGACCAGCGATGATGTGAGAGACGCCCGCAGCGACTACGGGACCAGCGCCTTCGATGACATGTTGAGTTTGGTGTGATGCGCCTAAATTTTTATATAAAAGGAAGAAGAAGTTGCATGGCTTATCCTCTCAACCATCATTTATTGTGTGGTTTTGTGCTGTCGTGTCGTACGGTTGCTGGAGTCCCCGCGACGGAGGGCTCTTTGCGTTTCTGTTCTTTTTTTTTCTTATTCTCCGACCTTGAAGGCCAATGCGACGGTGGCCCCCCTGCGTTGCCACCTTCAGCGGCCTACCCTCCCTCCCCTCCTTCCACACTTTCTCTCTTCTTCACTGCTGGGTGAAGATGCGTTGCCTGTTTTTCTCCTGTTTGCTAAGCCCCCACGTTTTTTTTATTTAATTGCGGTTTTCTTGCCACCACTTGTTTCCCCTTTTTCCTTTCGTTTTGGTTCGTACTTTCGTTGCCAGCAAAAATCTGTCTGTGTGTGTGTGTGTGTTTGTGTGGCGGGTAACGGTTACTTCTTGGCGTCCATGACAGCTGTGGAAGTGGCAGATAGACTCAAGAATAAGGGCAACGAGGCGTTTCAAGAGGGGAAGTGGCACCATGCCATTGATTTGTACTCCGAGGCTCTGGCGATTCACAAGACGCCAGCGCTTCTGTGCAACAGGGCCTTTGCGTACCTCAAGACGGAGCTTGCTGGCGCCGCTCTCGCCGACGCTGACGAGGCGCTGATGCTAGACCCGGGCTATGTCAAGGCGTATTACCGCAAGGCATCGGCGCACCTCCAAATTGGGAAACACAAGGAGGCACTAACGGACTTCAGGAAGGTGGTGCAGCTGATACCTGGCGACAAGGATGCGCGGAAGAAGCTGGAGTTCTGTGAGAAGGAGGTTCGTCGCATACGCTTTGAGAACGCTATTGACACCCCCGATGCGGAGCCGGTGTCACGCACGATCAAGTTAGGCACCGTGCGGCCTGAATACGATGGTCCCCGCATTGAGGGCGACACGATCACGGTGGAGTTTGTGGAGGCCCTCAAGGAACGCTTCCGCGTCGAGAAACTTATTGATCGCCACGACGTGGTCTTTATTTTGTTGGAGGTGCTGAAGTTGTTTAAGAGCTACCCCAACTTTGTGGCGATTGAGGTGCCGACGGGTGCCGACATCACCGTTTGCGGTGACACACACGGGCAGTACTACGACCTTCTCAACATATTTAAAATGAATGGGTCTCCATCTCCGACGAATCGCTACCTCTTCAACGGCGACTTTGTGGACCGTGGCTCATACTCGCTTGAAAACGTCATGACTCTCTTTGCCTACAAGTTGCTCTATCCAGAGCACATGTTTCTCTCGCGCGGCAACCATGAGGGTTTGGCCATGAATCGCGTGTATGGCTTTGAGGGTGAGGTGTCGCAGAAGTACAGCAAGGAGGTATTTCACCTATTCTCGGAGGTGTTTAACGCCCTCCCCATTGGCCACATAATAAACAACGAGGTCTTCGTTGTGCACGGCGGGTTATACTCTCGCGATGATGTGATGCTAGACGACCTCCAAAAGCCCAACCGCTTCCGTGAGATACCAGAGAACGGCCTCATCTGCGAGAGTCTCTGGGCCGATCCACAGCCGATGCCTGGCCGTACCCCGAGCAAGCGTGGCGTCGACTGCCCATCATTTGGCCCGGATGTGACGGAGAAGTTCCTGAAGAACAACAACTTGAAGCTAGTGGTGCGCTCACACGAGGTGAGGGAGGAGGGCTACGAGGTTGAGCACGATGGAAAGTGCATCACGGTTTTCAGTGCCCCAAACTACTGTGACCAGATGGGTAACAAGGGTGCCTTTATTCGTTTCACGGGCGGAGACATGAAACCGAAATTTACGACCTTCGCCCATGTGACTCACCCAGGCAAGCCACCGATGCACTACGCCATGGGAATGGGTCTCTTCTAAATCACTACATCCCGCCGTGTATGCATATGAAGCTCCGTGTGTGTGTGTGTGTGTTTACAACGGACATGTATGGACGGAGCAAAATATGTTTTATTAATGTTACTTTTTGTTGTTGTTACCAGAGCTCTGCAGTTGTTTGAAATGTGAGTTCTTATAACTTTTACTTTTTGCGGGACCCTCTCACACGGTAGGTGTATGTCGTTCCTTTCCTTTTTTTTTTCTCTTTGGCTATCTATCTCTCTGTCTCTGACGCGGTGGAGGTTTGCGAAAGGAGCTGCTCCCTGTGCATTCTTTCTTTTCCTTTTTCACTGTTTCACATGAAGCTCTCCACATTTCCTTCTTTTTCTTTGTGTGGTTGTGTGTTTTTTGCCGTGTGCGTCAAGCATGGGCAGACGAGGCGGAGAGAAGAAGCAGCGAGGGGCAGCACCCAGCAGCCGTGAGGGGGGACGACGCTGCGCCATAGCCCTGCGAGAGTCTGTCAGGGAGGCGGGGCTGAACGAGAGATGAGGAAAGAGAAAAAAAAATGATGAAAAAAGAACGAAATAAAAAATGAAAAAATAAACGTTGGCACGAAATGAAATCAAAGCTTCCTTTACAAGCCTGCGAGGTGGAGAAAAGGAGAAGTGGGGAGTAAAAAAAGGTAGGCGGGGGTGAGGCGGGTGACGGTGGTGGTGTGGTGTCGCTGTGCGGCTTGCCGCAGACGCCGCCGCGAGGTCTACAACTAACACTATGGAGACTTACTTTTCCCCTCTTCTTCTTCTTCTTGGTTGCTGCGGTGCGGCGGTGGGGGAAGGAGCGGCAGTAGTAAAACTCCACTTGATGGAAGGAGGAGCTCGCCACCGTGAGGAAAAGCCGCAGCGACAGCGCGGTGCGGCGAGGAGCGGTGGGCAGTTAAGAAGAAAACGCTAAGCGGGAATTTCACCCTCCAAGGCGTGGTATTAACGGCCTTTTTCCTTCTACCTCTCTTTCTTATCCCACTTGGTAGTGATGATTAAGAAAAG